CGGCAAGCTGCCTCAGAGCCTCCACCCGGGGACGCGGCAAACCCAGGTCCCCAACACGCACGGCAAGCTGCCTCAGAGCCTCCACCCGGGGACGCAACAAACCTAGGTCCCCAACACGCACGGCAAGCTGCCTCAGAGCCTCCACCCGGGGACGCGGCAAACCCAGGCCAGGGCACAGCCTACTGCCTAGTGCCTGTCTGTGGTACTGGGCTCCCGCCAGGGGTCTGCAAGGAATGGGCAGTGCCAAGGCTCCTGCTCCTGAGGAGGTCCAATCAGCACACTACAGAGCAGGCGCCCACATGGGTCCCACTCAGCGACCCCTCTACACTTCTAGCACACAGTGGGGCCTGGGGGTGCTTCAGAAAGCCCACAAGGTGGGAGAACAAAGGGATTCCTGGCAAACAGAGGTTCAGTGAGAGGCTGGATCTCCCACATTAGAGAAACTGGGCGGTGGGGTCCATCTCTGCATCTCCTTGGATTTCCCTAATGCCTCTTAGTCCCCAAAATGGACTGAAGCAAGCCGCAGTAGCATAGTCACGTGGGAGGAGGGCCCGCAGCTGACAAACTTGAATTCTGGCATCAGAGTTACGGACAGGCAGCTTCCCTTGGGGCTCGAGCCCCCAACCAGAAAGCACAGCATGAGTTTCATGGCAAGCAGCACAGCAGCCATCTTCTCTGTTTCAATAGGGATCCCAAGGCAAATCTGCCTCATGCTAGAGCTCTGTGATCGATTAACAATGTCTGTCATGGGCACAAGCGCCAGAGAGGTAGTGTTTGTGCCCTGAACCTGCCCTCCTGAGCTGGGTGGGATCTGAGAGCCTTCTAACCCAGAACTTGAGCCAGGGGTCAACCTGGTCCTCACAAGAGGAAGACACCAAGCTAGTGGCAACGTGGAAGGTGGCATGTCCCCAGCAGACCAAACCTCTGGCTCTCAGGGTGAGTGCTCGCTTCAAGGCTGCAGCTAGCTAAGCTGGCCTCTGTAACCACAGAAGGCCTCCCCGTCTATATCGCAGCCCATCATGATGACACATCACTGTGCTGGTGCCCCACACATGACCCCCAGGAGAAGAAGGGCCAAGGGTTCCCATGCCGAGCACTGGAAGTTTCTGGACCTTGTGAGGGCACTTGGAAGGGAGGGTGCTGTCCATTCTGAGGGGACTGAAGAGGCTTTTGTGACTGCCCACAGTCACAGCCACCCTGAGGCCCCTCTGGGCTCAGAAACCAGCCCCCTCCCTCTATTCTAACCCCAAGCCCCTCCTCAGAAAAGGTTCAATACTGCCTTTGCTAGAGACTGGACTGACTTCACTAACTTCCCAAGAGACTCAGGCTTCTGTCTCTCTCTCTTTCTCACTAAAGTAAGGAAAATAAACAGCTGTGTTGATGCTTGTACCTGTAGGGGTTTATCATCTCTTCCGTGACAAAATTCAAGTAATTCCTGTAATTTAAAGAGCAGAGTTTAAATATCATTCCTTCTCGTGATTGTTGAAGAAAACAAAAATACGGAATTCCTCAGAGGTCCTCCTGGCTGCCCCGGCTCTGCTGGGGAGGAAGCCCCGAGTGTCTCCCCTGCTGGGCCCTTGTCCTTGGTGAGCAACCAGGCACCAGGCATCTACTGGGAGACTGGCAGTCCTGGTGGCAGAACAGTAGGGCACCATGGGAAAGCCGTGCCTGCCAAGCTCAGGCAGCTGTGCATTGTCCCCCCTGCAGGTGCAGCCAGCGCTGCCTCTAAGGCGGATGCAGAGCCCAGCCCAAGCTGGGATTCACCTCCTCCACTACATACGTATCTGCTGTGTGCACAGCTCACAACCCCTAGCGAGCCCTGAAGTTCAGGGCTTTGGTTTCCACACATCTGGGGATAGGAGGCCATAGGGGAAGGAAGCCCAGACAGACAACTGATGGGACAGAGCAGTGGGTATACCTGACTAGAGAGTGGATTGGCAGAGATGTTCACACTGAGGCCCTGTATGTGCTCCCAGGTACCATCTCCACAGCCTGACCTACCTCCTTCCTGTGCTCTTACTCTGCCCTGTACAGCTCGGCCTCAGAGCAGGGGCCCTGTGGTTGGGAACCCAGAGAGGAGCTGCAAGCAGGTCTCCTTGCTTCCAGCACCTTCCCTCACAGGCTGGTCCACAAGTACTGGTTGCAGCTTTATAAGCCCAAATGCCGTCCGCCTGACCATGAAGGCGGAGGCTTCTCCAGAGAGCCATCTTTGGAGCAGTCAAGCTGTGGGGCTGTGAGAGTGGCAAGGGCAGCCACCTGCCCTCTTCTGGGATGCCTAGGGCTGAGTGACACTCTGGGGGGACGACCACCCATGCCCCTAACTGCCCACTGGTGCCTGTGGGGGCCGGGGGTTTTGGACACTCATGGCCAAGGACCTGGACATTCTGGAACCTACCATCCTCCATAGGCAAAGAGGCCGCTGTATAACGCCAGGACAATGTTCCCCACGTCCCAGTTGGTGCCTTCGAACGAAGACTTGGGGTTCAGACTGGACACGTCACCTGAAAAGACCAAACAAACAGAGCTCTGAATGGAAGCCATGCTACAAGTCCTGGAATGTTCCCGGAGCAAAATACAGCGACGAAGAAAATCATCAGGGTGAAGGTGTTCCCATCACAGCAAATTAAAGGCACCTGCTGGTCCACCAGACCCAACCGTTTTCCAGACTTGTCCTGGGGCCGGGGAAAGGCCAGCACAGAGCTCTGTGTGCTCCTGACCACAACGTGGGAGGAATGTGGCCAGGCCAGGGGCCCAGGGCCTAGTCCAGGGTTGGAGGGTGGGCAGCTCTGTCTGCCGGCTGAAACTCTGCTGGGGACAGTCCCTCAGCTGTCTGAATATAGCTACCCAACTACACAGGAGGGCTGTGGTTGGTCTTCAGGGCTCTTGCAGGGCGGGCACATCCTATGAGAACTGGAAGCAGGCGCTGGGCATGTCTGGCTTTGCCTGGGGTGCATGATGTGCCAGCTCTGGGCCCACCTGAACCGCGGAGGCCAGGTGGATGGGCCTGGGTCTGCATCCCGCTCTCCAACCAGGTGATGCCAGCCTTGCTCCTGGTCCGAGAGGCAGGGCTTGGAGCGTGCCCCTGGGCTAGCAGCTGGACGGCCCGGCAGGGCCTGTGAACCGACTCTGATGTGGGAAGGCCCTGTGAGTGAGTGTGCCTGAATAAAGAGCCACGTCCCTCCACAGGGCACCACCTCTGGCAGGTCCCCCGGTGACTCAGCCACACGATGATTCCCATGTTGGGATGTGGGCTCTGCATCTTCCCAGTGACGGCTACAGCTCTGGTCACCCTGGGCAAGAGCAGGGCGACGGTGCACTGTTTACACGGACGCCATTGCCGGCACTGCGAAGGGGAGTGGATGTCCTCCCCACTCTGAGCCCCGAACGGGGCTGGGCTGAGGGTGGAAGGAGGGTGCTCCCATGGACACCAGCTTCTCACATGAGGCCAGCAGGCCCAGCCCTGCCTGGGCTCATTCGTGAGCTAAGGCCTTTGATCTTCTGCTCAGGGGCTCAGATGTGGGTTCTGGGGCCCATCAGCCCCCACCGCCTGCCCGGCAAAGCGGAGTCTCCTGACAACGGCAGGGCTGGGTCTGCTGGCACCCCCAGCCCGCCACCCTGCACGTGATCCCCTAGAGCCCTGCAGGATGCCTGGTCACAGGGTAGTCAGCAGGCTGGACGTGACCCTGCAGGGGCAGTGGGAGGAAGGGGCCCAGCAGCACTGAGAGCCAGGCTCTGTGGGGTGGGGGAGCCCACTGCCAGCAAGGAGCTGACCCGTGAAGAGAACAAGTGGGTCCCGTGTCTCAGAGCTTGGACGTGCTCTGCCTCAGGGCCTGGGCCTGGCTCCTGGGGACATGGGTCAGCCCCCACCTCACCGCTCCCCCCTCACTGGTCAGCACGTCTCAGAGGTGGGCTGACAGCCTGCCTGGCGCTATCCCAGACTATACACCTTCCTGGAATACCATGAACGCTCTGAGTATGTGGAGATGGCCCGAGACTGTTCTCAGCACCCATCTCCAAAACTCAGGACCCCCCAGGGTGTGCAGGGCTGGCCCAGGTCTCAGCCACTCCTGGGAAGTCAGGACAAAGGCTCCCCACAGGGCATCTGTAATTTCCTATTTCCTCACCAGTGTGTTCTGTTTCCCTGCTGCTGCGACTCAAACCACTGTCCTGTCCACGCTCCGAGGCAGCTCTCGGGGTGGCTATGAATACCAACAGCCCCTCAAACTTGAGTCTGAACTCACAACCCTGCTCCCAAGTGTGGTGGAGATGGGACAACCTGTAAGGGCTGCTGCTACTTCTGCCAAGGATGAGATTCGAGGCTTAAAAGGGACCAGGAGGTGCTGAGGCAGGAAGTCTCCAGGCCCAGGGTGGGGGATAGGCTCATCAGGGGGCTCGCCATGCCAGCAGCAGGGGCTGCTTCAGCTGCTATTGTGGAGGAGACATGAGCTGGGCCACAGCAGGGCCAGGAGAAGCCCATTCACAGCGGAGGCCACACAGTGTCTCGGGCACCTCAGCAGGTCGGCACCAGTCACCCACGGGGGCAGAGACCACATCCTGCTTGGGACCACGTGCCTGGGGGTGGGTGGGTCTGAGTGACTCCCAGCGGCACAGACGCCACTCACACCACCCGGGAGCCTCCTCTCTGCACAAGGGCACAGGGTCTCCTTCCCCGGCCGTGAGTGTGGCCCAGCAATGCCACGTGGGAGGGAAGCCGTCTATCTGCTCTGTCGAGGCCACTCTGTATCTGCTCTGAGAAAGACAAGGGGGTGCTTTCACTGGACATGCTGTGGTCTGACAGACACACAACGGTCCCATTGTCCCCTCCTGGGAAGGGCGTGACAATAGGCAGAGCAGAGCCTTCCTGCTGCCAGCCCTCCCTCCAGCCCGACCTTGGGGCTATAGCTCTCTGGGTGTCATAGGTAGGGAGCTGCTGGATGAAAAGACACAAAGGCAGGGGAAGGGAGGCCGGGGTACATCCTCCATTGGGATGGGCAGGTGAGGCGCTCCTGCATGGTGGTCTCATCACACTAGGGCTTTTGGCTCTATCTCCAGCATACACTGATGGTCGGCCCCCACCCACAGCTCCCCACGCCCTCCACCTACAGGCCCGAGATCAGCCTCCTCCATGGGGTCCACCCCTCACGCCAGCCCCGCAAGCAGCCCTGCTTGTTGTCTGCTGCTGTTCCCTGTCCCACACTCTGGCACGCTTGGGGACGGCAGGGCTACCTCTCTGCCTCTGCCTCTCTGTCCTTGTCATGTCCTGGGCACAGGGCCTGGCACGGGGGTGGTGGTGAGCAAGCACTGTCACCCATGAACGAATCCTGACTTCACTTGACATTGAAGACGCCAAGGTGAAGGGGTGCTATGTGATCTGTGGCCCTGGTGCCAGTGGCCTCAGTGCCAGGCTGGAACCTGGACCCTGGGCCTGCTGGGCTCTACGGCCCCGGCCCTGTCTGTGCCACAGGTGCTGGCCATGTCGAGGGGCACATGGTCGCAGAGCTGGGTAGAGCAGGGAACCCAGGCGAAAGGGGGGCAGCCTGTGGGCCAGTCAGCGGGGCCGCAGATCTGCAGATGCAAACGAGCCGCTGCCAGTCAGCTGCTGGGCAGCCTCCACCTGCCTGAGGGTTCTGGAGCCTCAGGGAGAAACGGAGTCAAAGCACGTTCCAACACCACATCCTCTGCAAACAACTGTGTATATCTGGGCCCGGGAAACGGCTCTCTGAAGGCGAAAGGGCTGGGAATTCTGCAGACACGGCAGAGGGACTGAGCGGGGGAGCCTGGGGGTGGATGTGTCTGATGGCAGGCAGGATTATAAGCCCATTCTGTGTCGAGGGCAACAAAAGCTCTTTGCTGCGTCCGCTGAAATACGTGTTCACGGCAACGGGCCCCTCCTGAATGCCTCGTCTGTCTTTTATCTCATCAGATTAGCCAAGCAAATACCTTCACGCACAAGATCCTGCTCAGATGACATTGGCTAGCGGGACAGCCTCCAGGCCCAGGGGACTCTCCTCTGCCCAGAAAACTGGCCCAGCTCCGGGTGGGGGAGTTACTTGGCACTGGCTGGATTGACCCTGGACACCCTGGGTGCCCATGGAGTCAAGGAGTCTCGTCTTCAGAGCAGATGCTGGAGCTGAAAGCCCAGGAGGTCCTCAGAAACCGGCAGGGGGTCCGTGTGGGCAGGGCCACTGGTGACCTGAGTAAACCCCAGGCCTAGCCCCGCTGCAGGCCACGGGGTGGTTCTGAGATGAGGAATTGGAGACACTTGCTAGACAGTGGGCCTTCTGAACGAGGGGGAGACCGGTTGCGACTCCTCACAAGAGTGGTCGTGACAACGCAGCTGCCAGGTGCTGGGTGCCTGCCAGGCCACGTTACACACTCCGCACACAGAGGTGGTTACAGTCTGGAAGACTGCTCCACTCGGCTCCACTGGCTGCGTGGACCAGCACCGTGGCTTCCCCAGCCCAGGATGGGCTACTGGGTGACAGCCATGTACCCCCAGGCCACAGGGCCTGTGCCCAGCCCTGTCCACAGTGAGTGCGTCTCCTTGACGGCTTCCAGCACTGTCCGTGGACGAGCTCACAAGCCTGTGAAGGGAGGTGCTGGGCAGCCAGCTGGCGTGGGGGGGTCGCGTACACAGCTGGAATTCCAGGCACGATCTCATTCCGAGGACACGCTGGGGCGGTGTGGTGGTCTCCCACTCACCAGTTCACGGCAGAGGGCCTAAGGTGGGCGTGGACAGGGGCTCCACCAAGATGCAGGCCAAGACGAGAGTGCTGTGGAGAGGGACCTCAGCCTAAGCTGGTCCCCACTTCTCGTGTCTGTGGAAGGCTGAGGGTGTGGGTGGCAGATCTGGCTCAGACCCTGGCCCTCCCCGCCACAGCAGGAAACCCGAGGGCAGCTTGGGGCTGGGTGAGCTGCAGGCAGAGTCGGTGATCTGAGGGTAGGAGTGCCAGCACCTCGCTCGGCGCCCACACTCACCGCCGGCCTCCCACGGCCCTCCTCTTGGTGAGGGCTCGGCACTCACCGCCGGCCTCCCACCACCCTCCTCCTGGTGAGGGATCGTAACTATTTGTAGAGTTTTGGAAACAAGCTATCCATCACCTGCGCTCTGCCCAGGGCCCCGCCCCTCGCTCTGAGCGCTCTCAGCCTCCTTGCTCCAGCCACCTCAGGGGTAGGGGCAGCCATGACATGCTCGGGGGTAAGAAGATGGACGCTCAGCCGGTGTGCAGCCAGGTCACAGGCAGCAGCTCGCACAGCCGGGCTCGGACAGTCTGCTCCAGGGCTGCCTTTCTGGCTGCTGTCTTACATGCCAGCTGGGAGGATAGAACTGAGCTCGGGACGCAACAGGCCAGCTCACAGAGGCCTCTCCTCAAGGCAGAGACACCAAGGCTGGGGCTCGGGGGGTGGGGGCTCTCTACCACCTCAGTCCCAACAAAGGGCTAGGACTCCAGGCACAAACCCGTGCCCAGGGGCCTTCCCGCAGCACAGTCCCAAGCACAGAAACGTCACAAACTGGGGACCGTGAACTCTGATGATGGAGCGGCCGACCAGGCCATAGTATGCCAACGCTGAAAAGACACGCCTAAAACAAACGTTTGCGCATGGTGTGTGTGCGCTCAGTCTCTGAAAGGCGCCCACAGAGAACCACGCACACCTGCACGCTGGGCGGACCCTGTGCCAGCACACTTTCCCACCTTCTCTCGTCCTCCTCCCAGCAGCCCTCAAAGAAGGGGAGACAGGCTCAGAGAGGGTTGGCTACTTTCCAAGGCCACACAGAATAGGAGGCAGGGTCAGGCCCAGCCTAAAGCCCATGCTCTCCTCTGTACCAGCCTGGCCCACTGGTGTCTGAGAGATGCAGGTGCTGTTCAGCCTCATTACTTGGGTTCCCAAGAGCAGGGCCACCCCTGAGGCTACTGAGTGGGGGCTGACCAAGACAGACTGCCTGGGGGTGGAGGATGGACCAAGAAGGTTCCACTGGGGCTGGGACATGCTGCATCCTCAGCTAGGTGACCATCACTGGACATGAGACCTGTGCAGTGAACAGCACAGTGCTGACAGCCCCCAACACCAGTGGTGTTCATGACATGCTGTTTTATCAGGGAGGAGTGGTGGCTCCGAGGTCAGGGAGCTCAGGGGGGCAGGATCCTGTGCCTTGCCCCCCTCACCTCCTTGCTGGGGGTGCTTTTCCACATGAGTCTCAGAGTTCACAGAGGCCTAATCCGTCTGCCTCTCCCAGACAGGTGACTCACCTGTCATGTCCTATGGAATACACCCCAGTGCCCTATACGGCAGGCCTGAGAGTGGGGAGGCACCAGAGGGGGACCCCCAGCCCATTTATGATGAGGCACACATTGTGAGCACCATCGAGTCACGAGGGACCCCATGGCCCACTTACGACGGAGACACACACTGTGGGAGATGTTGGGGTCTTGGGGCACCCATAGCCCATTTATGACAGGGACAGGTTGGTTTGGTCTGTGCCCCTTCCTGTGGAGTCAGAAGACCCCAGCAGGGAGCCTAGAAGTGTCTTGGGGACTGAGGGGCCGGACTTACCCCTCCCGATCTGCACGAAGCCCAGCAGGATGATCAAGGCCAGCGCCAAGAGTTTGGCAGCTGCGAAGGCGTCCTGGACACGGGTGGCGGCCTTCACGCTGTAGCAGTTCACGGCCGTAAGCAGCACTGGGGGAGAGGGAGGATGGTGTGAGTGACGGCCAGACATGCCCTTCGGGGAAGCACTGGCCACACCAGGGAGAAGCCTGCCACCAGCCTGTCTGGGGACCCTGGGCCTGCCCCCCCCCCCCAGCCCTTCTGGGGTTTCTGGTTTCCTGCCACCTGTCTGGATGAACTAGATGGTTGTCCAGGTGCAAGGCCAAAGACCAAAAAGGCCAAATGTTCTTGACATTCAGCAGACCTGCAACCCCAGGTACCCCAAGCACCATAAGGGATTTCCTCGTCAAAGGAATGAATTTCAGGCACGGTGGCACCTGTTTTTGGAAAGAGACTCTGGGGAGAACCCCTACCTTCCTTCCACTGCTCCCACCTTCGCCTCCCCATACCTGTGCCGCCCTTACAATCACACCTTTGTCTCTGGGAGGCTGAAGTGAAAATTCGATCTTGCCACCTGGAGGCCTACTGCATTCACTCACTGACCCTGCCTGATTGGTCAGACACCAGCCCAGCGCTGCCACGTTTCTGACGCAGGAGCCCTCTCCCCTCAGGAGTCAGGTGTGTGGGACAAGCACAGACCTCGGACAAGCAGACCCACCCGTCCACAAGCCCCTCTTCAGCCCCAGGCCGGCCTGGATGGCTTCCATGCTGTAAGAAAACCCCACCTGCGCCCAGCTCTGATGCCGCAGGAGCCACCCGGTGACAGTGCGAGAAACCCGCCGTGGCGTATGGCCCCTGCGCGGCCCGCGGTCTGAGGGAGCGTATCGGGGCTGGCTGGGCCGACAAGTGGACTTGGGGTGATGGCACTGGATGGGGCAAGGTTTAGGGGGCGGGTCTGGGAGCAGGCTGGGCGAGATGACAAAGAACCCAGACCCACAAGGCATGAGGAACAAAGGGAGGAATTCAGAAATGCCCCGCACAGGGGCACGCTAGGGTTCGCTGTGGTGCCTTGGGCTCGGCCCAGTGCAGACTGCAGAGCCCAGGGCTGGCCACCCTCCAGGGACTGAGAGACCTGGCAGACGCCCTGCACGGCTGTAGGCGCCCCACCCAGACCTGAGCCCACAAACGGGCACCCTTCCTGCATGGGGCCACAGTTGCCAGAATTGCTTTGCCAGGCGATTGGAGTCACCTCCTGGGGCCCCCTGAGGGCCCAGTGGGGCCCAACATGCACCCCCAGCACAAGGAGACAGGCTGGGTACCCAGAGCCTGGAGAGGCCGTGAGCACGTGATAGGGGGTGCCAGCTGCGGCCCACTCCCTGGTCAAACCCACCACGTTCAAACCCGGGCAGCGAGTAAGCACCGCCAGCTGGGGGACTGCTGGAGAGAGCCCTGCAGCTGCTGCCTCACGACCAGACGCGCTTGGCTTGGAGCCGGCAGCGGGCCCACCCTCCCAGGTGCCGCATTCACACCTGGATCTGGACGCAGGCGTCTTCCTGTGAGCACCACCCGGCACGTGCTGCACGCGTGGGGGCAGCAGCAAGGGCGACATGCTGGGTCACACCCTCTCCTCCCCACAGAGCTGGCCTTCAGGGTCCCCAGTGGGCTGTCCCACGTCCCCTACAGTGTGCGGGGCTCCCACAGGTCGGTCCCTGCTGACTGACACGAGGCGGCCACCACAGGCACAAGGCAGCCAGCAAATGTCCTTGGCGCTCTGGGAGGAACTGCGGGCTCACCTCCCTCGGGGACAACCAAGCTTTTGGCCTGCAGGACCCTGGTGGCGTGACGGTTAAGGCGCTCCGCCGCCACAGCAAGGCTGGCAGCTGGGCCCTCCCAGTGGCTCCAGGGAGAAGGGTGTGAGCCCAGGAGGCCCCATGGGGCAGTTCCACTCTGTCCGCCAGGGTTGCTACGTGGGGATACACTCAGGGCACAGGGTTGGTGTGGGGGACAGCCCGCTCTGTCCCCTCGGTTTTCTCTGCGTGTGGTCTCTGTACAGCTCTGCAGAGGCCACCCGAGACCAGGCCCAGAGCCTAGAAGGGTCGGGCTCAAGATGGAGGCAGCAGCCTTTAGCTGCAACTCTGACATGGGGACGCACCATGCCCCTGTGCAGCCAAGAGAGTGGGGCTGGGACAGCCCGGTGCCGCCCGCATGCAGGGGCAGCTCACATAGCGCCTGCTCACGCAGGTGGTGATCCTGAGCCCATGCACCGAGTGGCTCGCCTCACTTAGTGCCCGCTCACACAAGGCGGCAGCCCCGCCTACATGCAGGGGTGGCTCGGCTCGCATAGTGCCCTCTCCCCTGTAGGATGCTTGTGGTTGTTGGTGCTGTCACGGGTGTGTAGGCTTAAAGGAGATGATGAGGACCAGCTCTCGGGGGCATGCAAGAACCTCAGGCACTGTGACCACAGCCAAAGTGGCCACAGTGTCCCTGGTGGGAGACCGAGGAGCCTGGCCCAGGGGTCACAAAGTTAGGGGCCGACTTGGGGACCAGGGTCCTTCCCAAAGGGATCTGGGTGGAGGTGAGGCCATGCTCAGCCAAGCCCTCAGGACAAGTGAAGTGACAGGTGCGGTCAGGTCCCTCTTGCACAGACAAGGCCAGGGGCTCAGAGAGGCCCCAAGGGCCTGCGGGCACCATGGCCAGCTGCGGCCATGGCCTGGCGCTGTGTTGATGGGTTGGCCTGCCTGGTGCCTGTTTCCCTGGCACTGGAGGTGGGGACAGACGAGGGAGGGTGAGTGGAGAGCCCCTCTCCCCAGGCATCTAGTGCGCATTGGCTGTGGAGGCCCCGTGCTTCCAGGCTCCTCTTGCCTGGCACCACACGCCATCCTGAGACACCAAGGAGGCAGGACAGCATGGCTTTTCTGGGACCTCTCACATTTGCTCATGGCCGATGTGACAACAGCAGATACCAGCATCTGCATCCCTGAGGAGCACATGGCTTCCCAGATTCCACAAGAGGAAGGCAGGTTGAGTCACAGGCCTGCCACCAGCAGGGTGGGCTCGGGCCCTAGGAGGAAAGGGCCGGCCCAGACTGAGCCGACTTTGGACACACCGGCCGGCGGGTCTCTGCCTCCCCCAAGAAGCGCAGTGTGTGGCTCTGGGCAAGCCCACTCCACCAGCCGTGGCCACAGCCACCCATCCAGGGCCTTGCGGGTGCTTCTCCCCACTTTACAGGTGAGGACACCAAGGCTCCAGGGAGGGAAGGGATGTGCCAAGAGGTCCCGGCCCGTGGGCACCTGGATATGAGGTAGTCACAAGCTGTCCCTGAGGGGCTGGGCCCCCCAGCGCCCCTCCACTGGGGACGAGACGTACACCCCACTCAGGATCCAGCCCAGCTGTTCCTGGGCAAACCCAGCCCTGGACGCCCCCCACCCCGCCCGAACGGAGGAGAGGCAGCAGGTACCCAGGGTCAAGTACAGCTCCACCTACACACCCGGGGGAAGGCAGGCAAAAAGGCCTCAGGACCATTCTGTTACTTTATGAAAAGAAGAACTGAGCCATCAAACTGTTAACAGGTTTAACAGGTCACTTAACTCGGGCTGATGAGTAAACAAACCTGTATTATTCCCTAAGGTGTTTCCTTTTCTCTTAATTTCAGGCTACAATTCAACCCTCAGTAAATCTCCCAGTTCACAGGGTCTTGTGCTCTTGGGGCTGTTGTGGGGGAAGGGCTGACTCAGCTCTGCCAGATGAACGCCACCACCTTGATGGCTGCCTGGCTTCCCCAGGCCTTAGGTTCCCCTGCTAGCACTGTCACTGTAGCCCATGTTGACGTCAGCCCTGTCGCTGACGCCCAGCCCTTCTGCAGCAGAGATGGGGTGGGGGCGGGGTCGCCAGCAGGAACATGGGGGTGAGGGGTGCTGCCAGGATGCGGCCAGGCTGAGGCACCCAGGCCCCGCTGCACAGGCAGGGAGCCAGCACCTCAGATAAGTATGGCCTCGTCACCCACCACAGCAGCTGGGTCCAGGGAGATAACAGCCCCTCCCTGGGAGGAGCTGCACCCGTGGGTGAGGAGACAGCCAGAGTGCCTGGCCCTGGTTCACCCCACAGGCCAGCTGGGAACCTGTCTGAAAGTGGCCCGGGGTGTGGCAGACAGACCGAGAGTGGCCCTGGCCTGGCTCAGGGATTCCCTGCCTCCTTCCGGTGGGGCTTCTCCCACGCCCTCTGCTCCTCCTGGCCCGCGAAGACCCTTGCTCTGTGTGCGCCTTGAAGGCAGATGCCTTCCTCCGTCCTGGCTTGTAGCTGGAACCCAGCTGGGCCTCCCCTGGTTACCTATGCAACTTCAGAGGGTCCCTGGTCACAGCCACAGCCTGCACGTGATGTCCCTTACTGATGTGTGACTTCAAGGGCATAGCCCTCAGGGTCAAGGTGGGACCAGGCCCCACACACTCAGGCCTGCTCCCCATGTCTCTCTCTTTACTGAAGACAGGGGAAGGGCCCCTCGCTGGGGTGGGAAGCGGGGGAGACTCGGCAGCCTCCTCTCCTTCCCCTCACCTCTCCCAGCTGCCTGGAGCAAAGGCTGGGGCACGAGCCTACCTGAAACAAAGCAGCCCACCAAACAGAGCCCACCTCCCCTGCTTCCTGTAGGAACTGAGGTGTTTCTGGGTGTGACTTTCAGGACCATGCATGGCTATGCTGCCCCCACAGGGGGCCAGCTGTCAGATCCAGCTGGGGAGGACTAAGACTCCAGGTGGACAAGGACCCTGCTATCCGGACTCCATCCCATCCCCACAGGCCGAAGGTGGCCCAGAGGAAGTGGCCACCAGTCCTGTCTCCCGAGCGTACAGGGTCCCTCTGCTGGCACCAGGCCATGAGCAGGGCAGCTGACCATGGCCACCACAGCTGTGACCGATCCGGGCCCTCAGCTGGGCCTGACACCTGTTCCACCTGGTGCTGGGAACCACTGAGAGGTCATCATCTTGGATGGTCTGCAGGGGTGGGGCCTCGGAGGGACCTAAGGGCTCTCCACAGGCAGAGGAGAACGTGTGTAGTTTGGACTGTGCCCGGAGGACTGGGGTGACACTCCAGACAAACTGGAACCCTGGAGGGCCCTGCCACTCCTGCCGACTCCCCAACTTTGTGTGACGAGAAATGGCTTGTGGATGGACGGCCACGCCCCTTCCACTTCTCACGACACACAGCTCTGTCCAGCATGGGGACCTGAGGGTCCACACACAACCTGATCGAAGGACGTGGTCATGTCCAAACATGGCCCCAGGAGGGATGAGCGTGGCAAATGCTGAGCTGGCCCTCACCTGATGGCGGGGCCTGGCAGGGCAGCAAGCACCTGCTGGGCAGGTGTCCTGAGGCTCCAGAAACAAGGGGACCCCTCCCAGCCTGTACGCGCCACCTGGCCAGGTGACCTGGGGTGTCTGAGGTCCTGTTTCGTCCTTCATGAGGTGGGAGCGCCGCCCCTGCTCTGGGCAGCCTGCCGACAGGGCCTGTGACACACAGGATGAGAGATCCCACCCCAGAAAAGACGTCGCAGTGTCCCACCCACCCACATGTTCGTTTTGTACTTTTTAAATTACCCAACTGTACATCTGTATCAGAGAGCCCTGGAGATGCACCTGCCCTGTGAGCTGCAGGAACACCAGGGGAGAGCGGGTTTGTGTGTGCGTGTGCGTGCGTGTGCGCGTGCAGGACAGCGAGGGCCTCGTGTCTCACTCCCCACACCTGTACGGTCTGAATTTTTAAGTGATAATGTACTCTTGTGTGACTCAATTCTTAATTAGAAAAATAAAATTAGATCTTCCCTCCACCCCCAACCTGAGATCTCCCTGCCGTGGGCCAGAGAGGCAATTCCCCGCTCTGCCCGGCACCCTCAGGCAGCCAGCGAAGGCTTGGGAGCAAGCGGCCCATGTTAAACAAGAGCTCAGGCCTTGAGAGAGAATACTCTGTCTTGAACCCTGGGCTGGAATGGTAAATGGTTAGCAATGACGAAAACAGACGGCAGGGGTTCTCATGCAACAAGCAAACCAGAGAATCTCTTCACAGGCTTGTTCCTTCCCCAGCCCAAACAAAGCCGTCTCCAGTGCCCAACTCCAGTTTATCAGCAGACCGACCGTTGGTGCATTTGGACCAAACAGCAGCAGCCCCCTGCACCCTGCTGCGGTCGGTCACTCTCTTCCATTTCAGGAAGGCTTCTACTCCCGGGCCTGGTGATGACAGCATGCAGGGGTGCAGGGTGAACAGAGCCGTTGTTTTGCCCATCCGCATTCACGGTTCTGAAACGCCCCTCACCAGCAGTGTGATACAGGTGGAATCACGCCCCGCATCCCACAAAATTCCAATAGCTTCACACCTGAGTGGTCCGGCACCCACAAGTATGGCCAGTCAGGGCCACACACCCACCAAAACACCCCCGAGGGGAGGCACGGTGCCCCTCCCCAGATTTCATGGCTACTGACTCCTAACCATACATTTAGCTCCAAGACCCCCCCTCCCCAAGACCCTGAGCTTGTATGAGCGCTCAAGATTCAGGCAGAGTCCTAAAGCAGGTGGCAGCTCTCAGCTCAAACCAATCAATCAAAGTTTGGAAGTGCTCAGGGCGCCAACGTAAACTTGGAAAGCAGGGCACTTCAAGCCTTTCAAACCCTCTTAGAAGCTGCTCAAGCGGCTGGCTTGGAACCGCCAAGAGCCAAAAAAAAAAAAAAAAAAAAAAAAAATCACATGGCTTTGGTACAGAAGAATTTTTCCTAAAATCTCAGGAGAAAACTTTTGCAAAGCAGTCATTCTCTCGGGCCCAGTTCACTCAGTGTGTAAATCGTGTCCAGGAACATACTAGGACCATGCCCAGAACATATGAGGGCCAGGCTCCACAACATATTAGCACCATGTCTAAAGGCTGTTGTTTCTTAGCACCATTCGGGACTCCCAAGGCCACTTCTCGCTGGCTTTCCCTCCACCTCAGCACAACAGAAATGCGGGCATCTGCAGGCAGGCGCCCCTATTTTCACCACTGGGCGGCCTCAGGACTAAACACTGCTGCTTTGCCAAAATGAGGCGTGATCGCTAGCCAAATAAAGCATCATGTTTAAACTCCGAGTCAGCCCGTATAACCAACGCCTGATATGGGGGCACAGAGATTAGAAATGAATGTTTGTTTTTTTTTAAGAGCAATTTCCTCCTCAACCACCAATCGGCTCAGACAGGAAATGATCCTGTTCAGAGACTCCACGTGGGTGCATGCAAGAGGCAGAGAATATTACTCAGCACCGCCTGAAGCTGAAGTTTCAATGGGCTCAGGGGACCAAGGAATCTAGGAGCGACGCAGCAGGGCCCCTGCGAGGGGCGCCTCGGTGCTGTGCACCTGGGATGCCGAGGCGCACACAATGACCGGTGACCTTAGCTTAGAGCTGCGGGGACGCAGGGCTGGCGCAAGCATGCAGGGATGGGTGATCCTGGGTACAGGGATGTCTGCGGATGCTGGGATGGTGTGGGGACCGCGTTCGCGCGCGCCCTGAGCTCGGGGCTGCTACTCACGCACGCAGAGGCAGGCCACGAGCTTGGCCGCCTCCTCGGGCACCGGGCAGGTGGGGAAGAGCGGCTTGAGCAGGTAGGTGGCGAAGACGAGCGCCACGATGTACTGCGAGGAGGGCCGGATGATGAGCAGCTCGATCCAGAGCTTGAGGAAGGCGGGCAGCGAGCCGTAGACCTCCAGCATGTAGGCGTAGTCGCCGCCGGACTTGGAGATGGTGGTGCCCAGTTCTGCGTAGCACAGCGCGCCCACGATGGAAAACACGCCGCACGCGGCCCACACCACGAGCGACAGCCCCGGCGAGCCCGCTTCCTTGAGCACGCCCGTGGGCGTCACGAAGATACCCGAACCGATGATGGTACCCACGATGATGGCCACGCCGTTAAGCAGCGTGATTGAGCGCTGCAGCGTGACCCCCTCGCCGCCCGCCGCGGGCTCCGCGCGCTGCTCCGCCAGCATCCGTTCCCGCGTCTGCCGCTCCTCCTCCTCCTCGGTCGCCGTCCGGGCAGCCGACGAGCGCCGCTTCGGCGCCGCGCCCGCCATGCTGCCGCGCTCGACCGGAGGCTGAACACAAGAAAGCGCGGCCCGTGTGGCTGCGAGTGGGGCGTGACGGGCTCCAAGCACACTTATATAGCCTCTGGAACCCCGCCCCCACGGCCCGCTCCAGGCCCCGCCCCCTTCCGCCGCGCTCGGCGCCGCGCCGCGCTCCGAGGCCCCGCCCCACGCCAGCCCCTGCGAGACCCTAGGCTCAAGGCTCCGACTAGCTGCCGCGCGCCCGCCCGCCCCTCAAGGCCCGGTACTCGGACGCAGCTCAACTCGCGCTGAGGGGTGCGCCGGCCCCGCCCACACCCGCACAGGCCCCGCCCCGCCCCCGCCCACCGGCCGCTCCGAGGCCCCGCCCCTGCCGCCTGACCTGGAGAACATGGAGCCTCCTCACAGGACCGGCCCTGGTGGTCTCCGAGACCTCGATCCCAGGTGGGCGCCAGCCGCCACCTGGCCCCGCAAGGCCTCGGCCCCGGTGCGCCCCGGTCCCGCGCCCTCCGACCAGTCCCTCCTGGGTGGCCCCGAGCGCGACTCCCCAGGCTCTGTGGGTGAGGAACTGAGGTGTTGTGCAGAGTCGGCTGCCTGGTCACTGCAGGCTGGAGCGGTGTCAGAGGATGGGCAGCCACGCTCTTCCAGGACGCTCGCTGCCCTGAGGGAAGACCACCGCTGTCCCGCCCGGGGACCTGGCCGTGGTACGTGGGGTGTGGGAGAGGGCCTGGGGCAGGCGCTGAGGGCCGTGGAGCACCGACACCCCTCTGTACCCCACACCCTCTGCCATGGGGAGCACAGCTTGGAGAAAGTAACTCGGGTAACTGCGCTCCGGGAACAGGAGTCGGGGGTTCCCACTCCCCCAGTCCAACTCTGGAGTCCAAGGTTCCAGGGCAGAGGCTGGAGCCTGAGACTTGGTGAATCCAGAGAGGGCTTAGGTACCAAGGGCTGGGTGGGACCCCTTGTCAGGAGCAAAGGGAGGTGGCTGCCCCTCCCTGGGCCTGGGGTCAGGACAGGGTGGGAGACAGGAAGGAAGGAAGCCAGGTTTGGGAAGGCCAAGGAGCTTCTGGTTGCCGCCGGTCCATTGGGCCCATGGACCACGTACAAACTCAGGCTGAACCCCAGGGCCCCCTTCTGGGCATGTGCAGCTCCACGAGGTGAGGTGCCTGTGTTCAGAGCAAGGCAGGCTGGCCAACAGACAGGATTCTGAGGAATAACAGGCAAAGGGCTTGGCTGCCCTCCCGAGGCCCCATGCAGGGTGGCGACACCCTGTCCTTGGAGTCCCACGGTGGGACAGGGGTGCAGAGGCAGGCGGCCTGCACTTTCCTGGCCCCATAGTTCCTTTGATGCCAGAGCCCTGGGAAACCGGGCCCCACCCCGAGTCACACCCCCTGTAACTGCAGTATCTTGCTAAGCTGGTGGATTTGGATTTGGGGAGATACAAAATGCCCCCCTCTGTGCTCCCCACCTTCCTTTCATGGTGCAGCGTCTAACAGGAGATGCCAAGTGAGCTCACTGCGCACTTGTTTGGGGCCCGACACGTGCTAAGACCGCAGGGGCAGTGTCTGACTTAATCAGCCGCACGGGGCTGCAGCCCTGCCTTGCACGAGGAGACGGAAGCTTAGCGGGCTCTCCAGCTTGGCCTCCCCGGAAGTTGTCTTCTTGTTTCAGTAGGCAGTAGTTCCAGTTACTATAGGCGGAAACTTGAGGCTCCCGTCTGGAGACAATTACCCCACATCTCATTTTTTCTTTCTCTTTTTGTCTAACTTCCCATTTCCACCCCCTCCAGCCCCTGGTCACTACCAGTGAACTCTGGTCTGGATATGTGTGCGTCTTCTAGATGCTCCATGTTAAGCGGGATCATATCATATGTGGTCTAGTGTGTCTGGCTTGCTCTTACCATCATTTTTTCAAGTTCATGCGTGTTGTGGCGTGTGTCAGGACTTTACTTTTCTTTGTGGCTGGATAATATCCTGTTGTGTGAATTTATGGGAGTCCCTGGGCAGTGCGAATTGTTGATACATGAGGCTGCCCACCGGAAAGAGGCTCCAGGCCACCCAGGGGGACCTCGGAAGAGAGGCCTGGCAATCTGCTTCAGAAAAAACAGGCCTTGAAAACCCTGCGGGGCCTGTTATGCGACACACGTGAAGACTCCGTGGGCTGGAGCCCACACGACAGCAGCTGACACGTATAAACCACACTGTGTGTCCACCATCTGTTGGTGGACACGGGTTGTTTCCACCTTTTGGCTGTGGTGAACGGTGCAGCTGTGGGCATTGGTGCACATGTGTCCATGTGAGTTTCTGCTTTCAGTCTTTGGGTACCTAGACCTGAGAGCAGTGTAATCACGGCTCATATGGTGATTGTGTCTTCCAGCCGGGGTCCTTCTGACTCTTGAACCTGTGCACTCTTTCTGTTCTTCTGCCACCACGATCAATGTACCCCTTAGGCCGTTAGGTTTCCCTTTCTGTCATCCCCAGCAGCTAAAGCTGAACATCCCATGGGAAAAGAAGGCTGCCACTTAGCAAAACTTAGAGACGAAGGCCCTGATTCATTCTGCAAACACCTGTGGCAGGTGAGCTCGGTGCCAGGACGGCTCCAGGTGCGCAACAGTGAGGGCTTGGTGTGGCTTTGAGCCCAGTGACAATCAATATTCACACGGACACACATGAAATTACAGTCGGGCCAAGACAAGGGCACTACAAGGCGGTGAGAGGGGAATCAGGGCCAGCAGTCGGATGGAGCAGGTGTTCCCGGGGCCTTGAGCCCAGGCTGAGTGAGTAACGGGGGGCAGCACGGGCCCTGAGAGGCCCCAGTACTGCTGAGACAACTGGTACCAGCCCGTGGGAGCAAGGGAGCAGGGAGGCCACAACCTCAGTGCATTTTCAAGCCCCCTCTCTTCTTATTTCGGTTTCCATATGACCTGCCTCTCAGACCCCCGGCTGCAATCTGAACCGGGTCCTAAAACACCTGCCCTGAGTTCCCACCCATCTATTCGATGGGACTCCCAGTGGCTCTTTAGGACAGAGTAGAACTGCCCCGTGGGGTTTCCTAGGCTGTCAGTCTTTATGGAAGCAGACCGCCTCATCTTTCTCTTGCGGAGTGGCTGGTGTTAGCAGCTGAGTGCTTTCATCACTGTGCCACCAGAGCTCCTTTTGCTGGCGTTCCTGGCTGTGAAAGCTTAGCTAAGAGTGCCATCTGCTGGTGGGAATGTTAAAGCACGTCTTGTTTTGGGTACAGATGGTTGATGGTGGCTTCACAGTCAGTTGTAGTCATGGTGTCATCACCCAGACTGGAAGGAGGAAGACCCGACCGTTTGCATGTTTCTGTCAATAGCCCTAAATGGTGCATCCCCTTTCACTTCCAGAAATTTCTCCCGTGGACGAAAGGAAACATACTGTCTTTGGCCTGCATCCTTGTACACTGAGGCTCTTGAACTTCATAGCAGATGTTGGAAATCAGCCAAAACTCACTCCAGCGGCTTGGCTTTGGTGCTGTTGCCACCGAGTCAATTCTGACTCCTAGTGACCCCGTGGGATGGAGCAGAGTGGCCCCGTGGGGTTTCCAGGGCTGCTGATCTTTGCAGAGGCCGACTGCTTCACTTTCTCCCATGGAGCAGCTGATGGGTTCAAACAGCCAGCCTTTCGGTTAGCAGCCAAGTACTTTAAGCACTGTGCCACCAGGGCCCCTGTGCTTTTTGGCTAAGCTCTAGTCTATCCAGGTGGTAGAGTGCAACGTAGCTGCTGGAAACACAGCATGGAGGACTCTGGGTGTAAAACAGTAGGTTAGAAAGCCCCGGCCCACCTCGTGGACTACTGTATAGGGCTGCTCTGGTAGAGATGGGTCCCGTGTCCCTGTTTTGAGATCTGGGCACTCCGCTTGCCATGTTGTGTTACAGCAGCAATTGGCAGTTTGCCTCTGCTCTTTGGGGACCAACAGCTTCCTGGCCTTTTGGAAGACGACATCCCTTCCTCCTTTAGGGGTCTCCAGGGCTCCCAGGTGGATCTTGAGAAGTAGAAGCCTGCAGCCCTCAGCTGCAGGACAGTAAGTAGGCTGGACTGTGGCCAACTCTAGTGGCCGCTGGCCTTTTCTGCCCTTAGGTCTCAATTCAGGTGAAGCCAGGCCTTCAGTGATCTTAGGATTCTCCACAGGAAAAGGGGAGCTGCGGAATGCAGGGAAAAGGGCTTCATAGTGGAGGCGTGGACTGTGGGCTGAGTCGGGCCTCCAAGTTCCCACCCAGCCCCCGCTGCACAGTGGCTGAGGAAACTGGACAAGTCCCAGCCTTTGAGCCTTAGTTTAACCTTCTGTAAAACGGCATCAGAGCTCTGACTCCTTCAAGTTGTGAAGGTCCAACTACTCAATGCATGTAAAGCTCTCAGCTAGTTAATTAAGTCACAAAAGACCTCAATAAATAGTCGCCTCTAACTGTGGTGAGCAATAAACAGGTGGATAGATGGCTGCCGTCCTGACGGCTCTGACTCCTAGGCCCTTGCGTTCAGCAGGACGAAGTGCCGCCCAGGCCCGCATCCTTCGATCGCCAGCACGTTCAAACCCATGACTCACAGCAAGCCCGTGTGAGGAGCTGACGGGACAGTCGCTTCTCATCATCGGCAGTAGCAGCGTGCCATCGAGTCTGGGCCAACGCTGAACTTGTGACACCCCAGGGGATCATGCAGGAGGAAATTCCTGTGAGCCTCTGGTCACAACGTTGTCACTGGCCAATCAACGCACACGTGTTTCTGTTTACAGACACTGTCTACTGAGTCCAAGATGTTGACTTGTTAGCGCTGAGCTCGCAGCCAACATTGTAACTCATGCCGGAGCCAAGCATGTCTAGCAGCCATGTCTCCTCTGGGTGACAGACCACGGCCTTCTTCAGCCCAGGAACACCACACAGCACGTGGGCACTGCACTCGGGGATGGCTTTAAACAGTACAATCACTGACAAAAAGCGCAATAAGCCATGTGGCACCCAACGGGCCACGGAAAGGACACTGGTTTGCAGTGTGACAGCTGAGAACA